TCTTCCACACAATCCAGGAACCTCCTGGGCTGTTTCTTCTCTGCTGTGTTATATTTCCAGCAGATGTAGTGGATGGAGGGATTGGGATGAAACACCATATCCACTGCCAATAGCATGGCTCCAGGAAGGACAGCTGCTTGGCTGGTGGTCCTTTCAAGGAAGATGTAGAGCTGCCAGCAGCCTGGGCATCACTGGCACAACATGTGTGAACAGAGTGTGGGTGGACCAGCATTGCAGGCAGGCTGCACAGCAGCTCCGCTAGGAAGAGCTGGGTTTGTCTCACAGAGGAAGGTTGGTGGGGATGCGCAGGGACCCCTGGCATGTGCTGTGTCTCCCTCATGCATGCCGGGGCCCTGGCACAGCCACCCACCACCACAGTGCCCAATGGTGTCTGTCCCTTGCAGCGGTGGAGTGCATTCTCTTCAACGAGGAATACATGACCTGCACGTGGGGAAGCAGAGAGATGCTCACGGCCAACTACTCTCTCTACTACTGGTAGGTGCCCCTGTCCCACAGCCAGCCCCAGAGCAGGGTGCCCAGCAGTGGGTCCCCACACAGGAGTCTCCTGACAGCATCGCTGGTCCCAGCATCAGCCTGCTGCTCTTCCCCAAGTCCAGGGTGGGGGAAGCTCTGGCTCTTGGCAAACAGGATGGGATGTGCTGGGGAGAGGGGTCCCGGGGAGGGCTGGGGCACGTGGAGTCTCAGGGAGCCCTGGTAACCCCCTGTGGCACAGGTATGAGAACGAGTCGCCCGTGATGGAGTGCAAGCACTACCTGCAGGACCGGGGCATCAGCGTTGGCTGCCTCTTCAATCAGAGTGAGATCATCCAGTTCCAGCCTTTTCGTGTCCTCGTCAATGCCAGCCTCAGCGGCAGGACCCTGGAGATACCCAGCGAGCGCATGGAGCTGCAGGACCTGGGTAGGGAGTGGTGGGGGGCTTCTGCTTTCCTGTGTGGGGCTTCTGGGAGTCCCCGGGGCCTCCTCTTCATGCCCCAGCTGGCAGTAGAGCCACCCGGGTGCAGGGAATGCATTCACCTGGAGTCACCTGTGCCTTGCAGTGAAACCGGAGGCACCCGTCAACCTGACCATCCGCAACATGAGCAGCAACCAGCTGCAGCTGACCTGGTCCTCCCCGTACCCCAAAGCCCAGTGCCTGGAGCATGCTGTCAAGTACAAAAGCAACAAGGACACCTCCTGGACGGTGAGAGCCACCTGGACACAGGACCCCCACGGTTGTTCCCAGGGATGAGCTGTGAACCAGCCTCCATAGCAGGGCTGGCCCTCAGCACATAGCCCCCATCTCTCTGCAGGAGCACCTCGTGAAAGGAGACATATTCTCCTTCCCCAGCGTGGACTATGAGAAGTACTACACCTTCTACGTGCGCAGCAAGATCAACAGCTACTGTGGCAGCACCCAGCTCTGGAGTGAATGGAGCATCCCTGTGGTCTGGGGCAGCAACTCCACTGGCAAAGGTAGCTCCTGGGGGCTGTGGCACAACAGGGTGGGCCAGGGCATGGTGGGGCTCGGCAAGTGGGGGATGGCCAAGCAAGTGGAAAACTGGCCCAAGGCAGCAGCTGTAGGGGCGAGACCCATCTAGGCATCTGGATTACAGGCAGTGGCCCCTACATCCTTTGCAATTCTGAAAGCCAAACACCACCCAGTAGTGGGACATGCTGACTTTTCCCAGGGATTTCTCAGCCCTGGAGGGGCTGGTCTGGAACAGGATCACCAGCCAGTTTTGGTGACAGCATGGGAGGGCTTGGGGATGCGCCTCTTCTTCATCCTTTGCTCTCAGCTGAGCTCTGCAATGGATGATGCTGAGCTCCCATGGTCACCCACGGAGAGCCACCGGCATGCCCACCCCACTGCCTTGGCAGTGTGCTGGCCAGAAGTCCATGTCACCTCGGCTCTTTCCAGGTGCAATGGAGGAGCATCCGCACTTGTTCTGGATCCACACAGTCTTGATCCCCACTGCCTCCTGTCTGCTCTTGCTGGTCCTTGTCATCCTGCTGGTGCGCATGGAAAGGTGAGCATGGGGGACTGGTGGTGGGCAGCAGTGGAGGGGCTATTCCCCTCCAACACGTCTTTCCTGCATAGGGTCTGGGTCATCCTCATGCCCCGAATCCCCAACCCCAGCAAGAAGTTTGATGAGCTCTTCATCACCCACAATGGCAACTTCCAGGTAAGGCAGCTGTGGGCAGCCCTGTCCCGGGCCCATCCCCTGCCCTGTAGGGTTGGGGCTGTACCATGTGGTGGCTCCTCTCACCTCACTCTGCTCCCTGAAGGAATGGGCTGGCGTCCCCAAAGATGTTGTGGAGAGCTTCAAGCCAAACTACAGTGAGAACATCTGCTACGTGAGCGAGCTGTCCCCCAAAGACAGCCATGAGCCCCTCTGGGAGAGCAGCAACCACCCACCATCAGCGATGCTTGGGGCCCTGGCTGAGCCCCGTGAGCACAACCCCCACAAGAACAGCTACGTGGGAGTGTGACACACTCTTGCAGCCCTGCACCCCACACGCTCCACACCTCCACCGCCCAAAACCTTGTCATCCTACTCCCTGCTCTCACCCTGC